TGCTTCAACTTTTATAATATTATAATAATATGTATTTTTAGGATATGGAAAATTCTTTTGCTTCCGTTACTGCAGCGGCTTGTCTTGTCTGGCTGAATCACAGCCGGTTGACCTTGACTCTGTTTATAAGTTAGCAGCAGACAGTAACGAGAATGCTAAACAGTCTAAAGTGTGTGAAAACTGTACAGAAACATCTGAAAACTCTGAAAAAATTACACAATCTGGAACTAAAATTATTGAAACTAAAGTCGATGTCCATGTTCAACATGTTGATAAAAAACTACCAGTTGCTGAAAACAATGACTACCTTAAAATCTGGTCAGATACTCCTGTTCCAGATTCCCCTCCTCCACCTCTTCCACCGCGAACTTACAAACATAAACCTTTAGAGAGAACTTGGGCAATGCCACCAACTACTAATATCCCGTTGGATGCGTTGCGTCAGTTAAAACCAAAAGGTCTAATGGATAATTCTGATTTTACCAACGTTTCTCCTATTGTTGAGTCTAAAGCACACAGACCTTTAACTAGAGCTTCTAGTCGAGCTGGAGATCATGTTAATATGAAATGCTCTGTTCAAAAAACATTATCAAATGATACTAGAGAACATTCAAGATTTATGATGTTAACAGATGAAAATAGAAAGCCAAGAAGAACAGAAAGTAGAAGAGACACTACACTTCCACCAGGTAGTGGTTTTTAATTATTTTAAAATATAGATTATTAATATTCTGTTATTTAATCAGATTGGGAAGCTCGAATGGATAGTCATGGTAGAATATTTTATATAGACCATCTTAATCGAACTACTACTTGGCATCGTCCTTCTAGACAAAATTGTGATATGCATTATTATCAACAAAGACAACAATTAGATAGAAGGTAGGTCATTTTATCTATTCAATAATAATTTACTTAATCTTATGCTTTTGACTTAACTATGAATATTAATTGGACTTCCGGTATTATAATTTTAGGTACCAAAGTATACGTAGAACTATTTCACAAGAACCAGAATGCAACTCATTATCTAGAACCGATTCATTACGATTAGATTCATCTAAAACTAAATTTAGAGATAATGCGTGTATAGCATTACAGTTTATTAGTAAAAAGGAATTTCCGACTTTATTGCAGCAAAATCAAGTATGATTGAATATATTTGTTTTTTAGTATATGAATTAATGTTTAATATTTTTTATAGAGAGCTTTAGCACTTTATAATAGCTCATCATCGCTTAAATATATTGTGCCTAAAATTCGAAATCATCCATCATTATTTCAACGGTATCAAAGTCATAGTGATTTGGTTAGCCTTTTAAATTTGTTTGCCAATACAAGAATTGCACTTCCTAGAGGATGGACATCTAAAACTGATGCTGCTGGAAAGGTCAGTAATAGTAGAAAAATAATTAAAATGTATTTATGTATATGATAATAATAATAATAATAATAATAACCTTTTTAAATGCTCTAGGTATTTTTTATGGACCATTCCACAAAAATGACTACTTTTATTGACCCGCGTTTACCTTTGAATGATCTTTCTGTGCCATTGCCGTCTACATCTCAAGAACCTCCAATACCTCCTCCTCGCCCAACTATTACGCATATTGATAGCATGCTTTGTGATACAGTGGACATACCAACAGCCTATAATGAAAAAGTGGTAGCTTTTATACGCCAACCAAATATATTAGAGATATTAGCAGAACGGTATCCACAATTGTCTACTGACCAAAATCTAAAAGATAAAATAAACCAAATTAGAATTGATGGTATTCCATCTCTAGATACGTTTGGGAATGAACTAGAACTCAACATTTTGTTAAGGTGAATATACTTGCTGTGTAAAATATAATTAATAATTAAAACTCAGAACTTAGAATTTTCTTTTTACTGCACTTAAAAATTCCATCATCTATAAATTAAATTTCTATAACGAAAAAGTTTAAACACAATACTTTTTCTTGATATTTTTAGTATAGAATCATGTAATGCTCATATTAAATAATAAAATGACTAAAATGTTAATAGTTTTATGAGCTGCTGTTATGATATATTAAATTTAAAAATAATACTTATATTAAGTAATATTTTTGGTTTTATCTAGTAATTTTATAAAGCCTTAATATCTAAATTGTATTAATAAAATCTAGAGTTGGTGTATATATATACTAGTATCACATACATGTTTAAAAACTCTTAATTTAAATAAAATCTAAGCATTCATTTATGAGTAAATTAAAAATTTTCGTTATGAAGAACAAAATAATAATTATACAATTGTGTTTATTAACACTAAATAAATAGTCAAATTTTTTTAATTTTTTTTTTATAAATGACTAAGTGATAAATGTACATTCATTATTTTAATATTTTTTATGAATTAATACTTCACATATCACATAATAGCTTTCAAACATTTTTCACATAGACGATTTGTATTAAGTGAACTTACTATTTTTTTTTTAGTCTATTTGAGAACGAGATAATGAGTTATGTACCAGTAAGAGTGAGAGACACAAGAGTATCTCCTCAACAATCCCCTATCATGAATAGGGCAAATAGAACAGTTCCTCCATTCAAAAGAGATTTTGAAGCAAAACTGAGGAACTTTTACAAAAAATTGGAAACCAAAGGATATGGACAAGGACCAGGAAAACTTAAGTAATATTAATAAAATAAACCTTAAGAATTCTATTCATGTTAAATTTTTATTAATTCTTTAGGATTGATGTACGACGAGATCATCTACTTCAAGATGCATACAATAAAATAATGAGCATGCCTAAAAAAGATTTACAAAAATGTAAACTATCTGCACAGTTTGATAATGAAGAAGGACTTGATTATGGTGGACCATCTAGAGAGTTCTTCTTTTTAATATCCAGAGAATTGTTCAACCCCTATTACGGCCTTTTTGAATATTCGGCTAATGATACTTATACTGTTCAAATATCGCCCATGTCGGCGGCATTTGTTAATAATAAAGAAGACTGGTTTAGATTTAGCGGACGAGTTTTAGGTTTAGCATTAGTCCACCAATATCTATTGGATGCATTTTTTACTCGCCCATTCTACAAAACTCTATTAAAACTGTAAGCCTAAAATGTAATTGTTTTTATACATTTAAATTACATTTTTAAATTTTAAATTTAGACCTATGAGTTTGAGCGACTTAGAATCTGTTGACCGAGAATTCCATCAATCATTATGTTGGGTACAAGAAAGAGATATATCAGGAGAAATGTTGGACCTCACATTTTCAGTTACTGAAGAAGTTTTTGGTCAAACAGTTGAAAAAGAATTAAAACCTGGAGGTCAACGCATTTTTGTCACTGACAAAAATAAAAAGGTTAATACATTACAAACTAAGTTTTTTTCTTGTTTATTTAATATTAAAATTTATTATTTTATTAGGAGTACATAGACAAAATAGTAAAATGGCGATTGGAGCGTGGTGTTACTGAACAAACTGGAGCTCTGGTTCAAGGATTTTATGATGTAGTTGATCCACGATTAGTATCGGTCTTTGATGCTCAAGAATTAGAACTAGTCATTGCCGGAACCGTTGAAATAGATTTGTCTGACTGGAGAAGTAACACGGAATATAGATCAGGTAACAATAAATTAAATATTTTTCCACTCTTTAACTGTAATAGTATTTAAAAAGAAAATTTAACACAAGCGTTATTTAACCAAAATAATTTAAGATTTTTTTTTTTTTTTTATTAAAATACATTGTATAGTTTTCATTAATTTCTAGATAATGAATAACTACTTTTTTAATATAGTTAAAATTGATATATTTCTAATTTTAAATTTGACAAACTTAATGATTATGTATATATTTTGAATCCATACTGAAATGTCGAATACTCCTAAATTAAAAAATACATATAACTAAACAATTGCATGTGTCTTATTTCTTCTGATTAATAAACTATGTATTGTTATTGTAATAAATTTGTTTTCAAATGTATTCTCACTATGTGAAGAAAACATAATTGTTTTATTTCTATTTTCTTTAATAATTATTTTAAAGGTAAATAATTGTTAATTTTGCATTTTGATAAAATTGTATTATTCAAATTGTATCATAATTTATTTAAGGTTACCATGATGGACATCAAGTTATTAGATGGTTTTGGTCTTCAATAGAACAGTTTACTAATGAACAAAGATTAAGACTACTTCAATTTGTAACTGGCACATCTAGTATACCATATGAAGGATTTTCTGCTCTTCGTGGGTCTACTAGTGCTAGAAAGTTTTGTATTGAAAAATGGGGCAAAGCCAACAGTTTACCAAGGTAATATTTAATTATTATAATTTTCCATTAAGGTAGATTAGATATTTTAATTTAATAATTTTTACCTATATTGTAACAAATATAGTAATAATTGTTCATCTTAAATTTATCATTTGTCCATGAAGAGATTTCCTTGTTTATACTAAATATTTAAATATTTGAAAAAATGTTAAAATTTGTGTATTTTTTTTTCAGGGCACATACGTGTTTCAATCGTCTTGATTTACCACCATATACTACTCAAAATATACTTTGTGAAAAACTCTTGTTAGCTATAGACGAAAGTAATACGTTTGGAATGGAGTAATAAGTGTCTTTTTATATTTTTTATATAGCTAAATTCAGGCTAAAAAACGTAGAAATTACGATTTATAGACCAGAAATTAATTATTATTGAACATTTTTAAGATTTTTTTTTTTTGTTATTTTATATATAAAAAACCTATAGAGTGAAAATAATTATATTATCATTGTAAATTTAATATTTAAACAATATTTATTTATTATATATGTTCAAAAATGTTTTAATCTAGTTATTATCACTACATCCTGTAACAAAATATTCTAGTAATGACAGGATATGGTAATGATTCCCTTACATTTATTTATTTACTTTCTTGTTATTCTGTTAAAACTCGACTAATACTCTCACATCTTGATGTTTAAGAAAAGAAAAATTCATTTGTTACTGTTAATAATTTTATTTTATTTGTATTATTGCTTTTCCTAAACTTTGCTGTTAATTTTTTAACTGACCCCTGGTGCTATACTGAACAATAGCGACTTGTTGAATCCAAAGAATAACATCGACAAACACAATCAGCGACTGGACATTCCAAGTGATTCCTAAGAAAAAATGATTACAAATAAATAAATTTTTATGTATATCATGTATTAAAGTGTATAACTATTCAAATTATTACTTAAACCAGTCACTGATATGGTTAGAATGACCTCCATGATTACATGTAGGACACCACGAAAACCAATATGAAAAACTATTAACACTTTGCCCAGTTAATACATATGAACTATTAGATGTTAATTGTTTACCAGATGTTTTTCTTAATGGTACTTTGGCACTAGCAGTGCCTAAGTGTGCAAGACATAGTGCACACCGAGGCAGCGGACTTTGACAATTAGGACATGATGTAAACTGAAAAAATTAATTCTTATTAATTAAAAATATATATTTTATATTGAAATAGGCAAAATTCTGATTACACAAACTTTAATAAAGGACAAAAAATTTTACATTGCATAATACTGCTGTTAATTAATTTTTCTTTCTAACTTTAAAGTGGAATAATTAAAGAACACTCAGGATCTCATTTAGTTAACATATTTATTTTAGTAAACAATTGTTGGTGGTTGGGCCTCTGGACAACTTGTTCAAGATTGCTCTCTGAATGCAGGACACCAACCAATTTCTCTACCACAAACATATTTTAATATTATCTCTTTGAGAGGGGGAAATCTACACCCATCACGATAAAACACATTAACTAATCAGATCTAGGGAGCATTTTTAACACTACTATGTACAGATAAAAAAATTATATAAATTTTCACAATAAAATGTAATACTTATGTTGCAAGGTAAAACTAATAAGATAATTTTAGTAATGGGTATCTTATAATTTAATTTGATAAAATTTTAAATTGTGATTAAATTATTACACATTCGTGAATATGTTGAATTAGAATTTTCAAGTTGTTTTGTAATCAACAAAATGTATAGTCAAATTCTTCAGAATTTATTTTACATTTTTTTCTATATTGGGCTAGGATAAATTAAAGTATAAAAACTTGAATATTGAAATAGATTTTTAGAAATCACTACAGTCAAAGAAATGTAAATATTTAAAGAATAACCATTTTCTTTGATACATACTTTAAAATTATTTGATCCATTTTCTGTTTGGTCTTTTATTCTTAGTACTTTTGTTTCTTTTTCACTTTCTTTTTCTTTTTCATCAGCTGCTGAACAGATATTTTTTCCACAGTAATTGCAAGTTAAAAATACATTTTGGGGTGGAGGTTTTACAGCTTTAAGAGCTATATCAAATTTAGCTCGTATGTGCCACATTCGCCATTGGTTTAACATTTCTCGGTAACTAGTGAAAATTAAATACAAAGTATAGATTAGGAAATTAAAAATAAATAAATCAAAATAGAATTCTAAAATATTCATACCTATTAATCCAACTCATCATTACTGTATTTTCATGAACAATTTCACTTGGGATTGTTTTTAAGACTAATATACTAACTGTCTGAATATCTCCTGTACTGTCTAAATATCTTTGTAATAATGGAACTACATCTGGAGACGACCCTAATAATAAAAATAAACCGTTCAAATCAGTAATTATTAATTTATTTTTTTAACTTAAATATCTTATCCGGTAGATAAGTGAATTTATTTTATAACTAGGAGGTTAAAAGTAAATACCTAGTATTAACAAAAAGAATTGCAGAAAAGTAGAAAATTTTATATGAAACCAGTTGCTTAAAATTGCTTATTTTGTAATTCAAAAATAAATAGCTGTAAATATTTGAAATTTCTATTAAATATTTATAAAAGCATCTTTCAATATCTATGCCGGAATAAGATGACTAGTTATGCACAATGACACCCAGTCAAATAATTTTTTTAATCATCTCTGAATGTCAGTACTTATTTATGGATCATGCATAATCAATAATTGAAACTAGCGACACAAATATGCCAGCCTCCTGGCCATCTTATTCCAACCTAAATATTTATAATATAAATTAAGCATAAATGCATAAATTCATAATAATTTTAAAATTCGTTAAAAATGTGTAGCCAAGATAAGTAAATTTAGTAATAGGCTTCTCATTATTATAGGAATTAAAAAGTTTATTATTTCATAAATATTTATAAAAGTATCCAATATTTAATTTTGATAAATTTGGTTATTCATCCGAAAAAAATAAAATTATTTTAATTTTATTTTGTGATCTTTATATCTAAGAATTGAAAATTGAATACGAGGTTTCCTTATAACTAAGTTGTTCATAATATAACTAAAAAATCTAAAAATATATAAACACAATTTTTTTTTTTAAAGAAAATTAAAATATTGAAAAAATTAAATGGTTTAATGTAGAATTGTAATTATTTTTTTAAAATTTAAAAGTATTATTCAAAAAGATTTGAACTTTTACATTTAATTACCTTTTATACACATATATTTAAATAAAATATTTTTGACCACATTATACTTACTGTTTAGTAAAATAAAGTTTCTTTCCACTTAAAAAAAAAAATTACCTGTTAAAAAAATTGCAGTTAAATTGCCTTGATCTAATAATTTATCTGTAATTGTATTAATATATTCTGTTAATTTTATATCAGACAAAAAAATTGAAGCAAATGCAATTCTGTCTTCTAATGGAATACCAACTTCGTTCTAAAAAAATTAAAACTCAAATTAAAAATAAATATTTATTTTAGAAAAATCAGAAATTTACTAGAACAGCATCGTGAGATTCTGTTTCTGATGTTAGAAAAGCAAATGCTGCTCTCAAATATGGATCGGTTAATTTTTCTCTAGTTCTAGAACATAATTCACGCCACATGCTATATTTATCAGGACTATAACCTGAAAATACATATTTTAATTAATTAGATTAAAAAGTTAGTAAGACAGCTAATTGATAATGTTTAATCAAGATTTAATTATAATCAAAATATATTTTGATTATCTGTCTACTTTGATAAAGATAACTTGTACACAAGATGGATATATATAAATATATCCACTTGTACAATTATTTAAAATACTTTCCATCATATTAGAACTGGTTTTGATGGAAGGATGTTGCACCGAAGAATCGGCTGACTATTTGTTAACTGACTCTTGCTGGATGAGATACAGGTTATTTTATTTTGAATTTGACAATTATTTAAATTTTTATTAGTTGTTTGTGAAAAACATATTTTTTAGAACTAATAAGGTTATTATATAATAGTCAAAATAATAGATTGTTGCTGATAATGTAATTTAATACTTGTATCTGTAATGGATTTATTAAAACATGACTAAGTTACTTTTAATAGTATTTTAAAATTTTTTGTAATAATTTCTTTTAAATTTAGAAACAACTAAGGAAAATATAAACTGGTTTAAAAATGCTTTTTAATTAACATTTAATTGATGAAAATTTATACTTCAAAATATTAAATTTATTCAAGAAGAAAAATTTTCTATGAACTATTTTCTGAAATTAGACATTTAAATTTTAATCACATATTTTTATGACTTGTGGGTATTCTAATTATTTAAAGGAAAATTTTCAAGAATTACTAATTTATTTTGATACTTAATAAAATTGGAAATAAAGTATAAATTTATTATTACTTTAGAATTTAAGACAATTTCTAAAATTTAGTTTAAAAATACCTAATACATTTTATTACTCCAAAATAAAATCATTATTTACGGTTTTTGATTTTTTTTTTTTTTTTAATATTAATATATAATAATATCTTTAACAATATTTTTATGTACTGTTTTTAATAAAATAACAAATTTATACCTGATAAAGCCATTGCAATCATGCTTAAATTGGGTTGTTGATTTGCACCTTTATTCAATGTTTCAATAGCATCACGCATTCTTAAATTAAAAATTGCTATAGAAGCTGCTCTAGTATGAGAATTTTCATTTTCTAATTTTCTTAACAAAGCAGATATATGTAATGCATTATTACGGTCAAATCCCCAATCACATAAAAATAAAGCATTGTCTCTGGCTGAACTTCTAAAAAGTAAGGAGTTTATATTAAAAATAAATTATTTAGTAAAATTAAAAATACACTTATAAAAATAATTTATTAATTCTGTTATAAATTTAAATTGGCAGTTATTTGATATATAAAAAAAAAAGAATGTGAACTGAATCCAAGTACAATGCAATAGCTAAAGGCCAATTACTAGTTATTAAGACATCAAACCTACCACATTTAAATTAATTAAAAACTATTATGCAATCTTTATATAATATCTGACTAGGCTTGTCAAATTTAAGATGCACTAAAGGTATTTAATTAGGTGAAAACTTGGTATTAAAACTTGACTAGGTAAACATTTTTTGTTTCAATATACTTGATCATTTTAACTTTATACATACCGATAAGTTTTTACTGTGCCCTGAATATCGACCCACTGAACATGCTTTAATTCTGATTTAGGCATAGGAGATCCAGAATCTAAACCTAGAACAGTTCTAATTTTTTTTTTCAATTACAAATATGTTAAAATTTTATGAATGTAATTTAATAGAAGTGATTTCATATATTTTTAAATATTATAAGAGGTATGATTTTAAGACAAAACTTACTTTAGGCATTATATCTAAATAATTTAAATCTTATAAAAACAATTAGTTTAAAATGTATTTCATGTAAAAAAAAAACTTGGGAATTTTATTTACTTTAACAGTTCAACATTAAACTATTATTTACATAGAGAGATTTTGTGTTGAAAGTATATTAATATTTGGAATTTGTTTATTAACCAGTTTGCATTTTTGGGTTTAATGAAACATTTAAATATTTATTTAGAATTTTATATTTTGTTAAGTGTGATATTTAAATATAATGAAACCATAATTTTTAAGTTTCAAACATTTAAGTTGTTAAAAATAAATTAATGTGGAGTAATTAAAATTACAAAAATAGCTCAACAAAGTAATTATGTTAGTTCCTTGTATCTTAGAAAGATACATACTTTATTCCTGGAAATGGTACATTTGGAGTTGTAGGAACAATACCAGCCCTAGTAACTTTTCTATTTAAATCCAACCAATTCCATACGTTTTTTATGATAGGATCATCTACAAGTTTAGCGTTCTCTGCAAAGTCCTAAATCAGTAAGAAACAAAGATAATAAAATTAATTTAAAGATTTGATAATTTAAAATATCTATACTTTAATGCCATATTGTGAAAACGCACGCATTTTTATAGTAGTTGATATATCTTCAAATGAAGAATAAACTAAGTCTTTATCACTTATATATTTAAGATTGTGCTGCCCGTATGTCCAAGCTATACTTGATTTAGTGGACCAATTCAAAGTCATCCTCTCAAATACAAAATAATCATTCAATACACCTAAAATAATTTAATTAAATACATTTAAAATACATAGAAATAAATTAGTTGTAACAAATATTACCAGTTTGAGAAATAGCTAATAGTCTATTTTCATGAGTTGGATGCCATGAAAATGAAGCTAAATGTATGTTGCCTTGTCCGGGATGTACAGTTCTTTCTAAAGCTGAAGGTTCTGCTTCATCCATGCTTTGTTGCATATCATGTAAACTTATAGCCATAGTGTCTTTTTGTAATGATCCTAATAAATTATGCCTAATAGAACAAATATTATGATTTATAAACCAGAGCTTAAAAGGAAAAAATACTTAATTTACATTAAGTAATGAAGTAAAATTATGTGTTAGTTCATTATTAAATACAAGTAAAGATTTTACCTAGTCGGACACCATTGAACTTTAGAAACACTTTTACTTTGTGTTAAAGTTACAACAGGTTTTTCTAAATGCCTAGAGTCCCACAAAACTATACTATTATCACAATATGAAACAATATTGTTATTATTATAAACGGCTATATTAATACCATATACTGCTCGAGTTTGAGTTACATTTGTTGATTTAGATGCATCTAAAATTCAATTTTATAAAAATAATTTAATAAGCAAACAAAAAGATATCATTTAATCTCAATAAAGTCACATGTTAACTAAATTTACCTCTGATATCAATACAACGAATGGTTTTACCATTGCAGCTAACAGCTAAAACATGAGGAGATGAATTAAACCAAGCTAAAGAATTAGCAGTTTCTCCCATTCCATAGTCAAAGAATGGTTTTCCTGGTGATAATTCAGCATTAATCAAAGGACTTTTTTCTACATCCCATACTTGAACACATTGATCTAAACGGTGTCTATCCAAACCACAAGCTAATAAATTATAATTAACTGGATTCCATGATATTGCATTACACTGTCGAGAAAAGCGTGAATCTAAAAAAAAATAAAATACCATGTTTTTTTTTTTTTTTTTTTTAATCAAATTAATTTTTTACTTGGTCCTAATTCAAGTCCAGCTAATGTATTATTGACTGTTGCTAAGCCAAATGTACAGAAAGTTACTTTACCATTAGCATGTCCAATAGCAAGCATAATTTCAGACTCTGGTTTTGGATATATATCAATACATTTAACATAACGATGATTAGTACTCGTTGCTAACAAATTAGCTGATGTATTAGAAGATAAAGCCAAACCTATAAAAATGTTTTAATATTATAAACTAAATATATTAATATAAAATATAAACAATTATGTATGGATAATTAATAAAACCTTTTGGAGTATCACTACTTTTAGAACCTTCAGAAACAGTAGTGTTTATTACTTCATACATTCGAATGTCAGGACCCCATGTAATAAATTTATTTTTATGTACAGGAGACCATTGTACTTCTAGTTTTGGTACATCTCCACTAGATATAAAAAAAAAATATATTTAATAATATACAAGCATAAGTAAAAGAGTATAAACATGTGTTTAGAAAATTATATTTAAATTATAAAAAACAAAACTACCGTGAAACAAACATATTGATAAAATATTCACTCTTCAAAGTATGCAATCATTAAATTACAAGTAAAAAGTTTAAATTTTAAAATTTACATCAACTGTACAGAACCTTAGACATTTCCAAAAATATTAAGAATCACTGAATAAGAATAATCTGTTTTAAAATGTAGTTTCTAATTGTATATTTCATATAAAATAATTGTCAGTATGAAAAATGAAAACGATACCGGTATTTAAACATTTTAAATATATTTATATCTAAAATCTTAAAAAAATCTTAATATTATATTAGTAATAATTATATTATTTATTATCTTGAATCGTATCATGTGTAGACTGTAGATGATAAAAAAAGATAATCAATGTGATTACTGATTTCTCTACCCAGACTAACTTGGTAAACAACTCATTTTTATTTATTAATAAATGTATTTCAAATCAAAAATTATAATCATTTTATATAGTTCTCAAATTGTAATTTAATTTGTATTTAATCATTAAAATATTGTATTGATTTATATTTGGTATGAAATAATGTACAATGAGTTTGTAATGAGATTGATTATGATTTATAAATATCAAATAAATACTTTAGTTCTAGTATTTAATATTTATAATCATTGGTAATATCTTAGTATATTATTCCAATTTTCAAATTGTTGCTCCTAGATAATAACTAGTTACCATGGTCATAGTGTACAATGTTGGTGTACCATGAATGGCCGTCGATCCGTCCCGACCCCTTTCTCTATCATCCGTTATTTGCATGTTGCAATCCGTTTTTCGTCTAGTCACTTTTCTCAGCGACTCAGTTGCGTTGTTACTTGTTTTAAGACCATCGTTTTTGCATGATATATTTATTCAACGTGTTCTGGTAAGATTATTTCTTTAATTTAAATAATGTTTATCTTACGATAAGGTAGCTTAAAATCCTAAATTCATAGTGGTGCTCTTGGAGGGACGGGTTCAAAAGTTTTGTACAAATTGTGAAAATGTGATAAGGCTTTATATTTTAATTTATGTTCCATATTTTAATCGTCTACAATCTGTACATACTTTTATCCTTATCCAACATTTTCAAACCATTCGTCTATTTCAGCTAGAATAGTTACTAAATATTAATTATAATTTTTAAATGAATATTTGTGCATACAATTATTTGATAAAGTATAAAATATGCAGCCAAACAGTTATTTACTTATGAATAAAATATCTAATAATATACTTGTTTTGATAATTGCAATAAAGTGTAAAATATTTACTCATTTGATGCTTTAGGTAGTTAATTTATTAATAAGCACTCACATTAATATTTTATGAAACATAACCTGCTTACATTCATTAATCTTTATATTATTCTTAAAATTGATTTAATTTGTATCATCATTATTAATTCTTGTTTTTTAAATTAAAATTTATTATTTATAATGTAATTAAATAGTCATTGGTACAAATTTAAATATAAATAATTAGTTCGTTGTGGTAAATTTGGGTTACATTACATGTACATGGTTCATTAAATTTTAATGAATAACATTATTTATATTCTGAGATACTTAGTGGTGATTATTTTCCTATATCCTTGAATATATATATATTTTTTTAAATTTGTTAGTTTATCATAAAGTATGTTCTGTTAATCCATTATTGTTAATTAGGTTTTTACATAAGTAGAATAGATCTGATATTTATTGTATCAATTATCAGTATATAAATAAATATTTTGGTTAAATACCTAGTATTCTAAATTTTAGATGTTTTAATTCATAGTTAATCTTTTGATTATTATAATTTATAAATTATTTCTATCTACCCTTGATTTTTAATTTTAAGTTATTTTGTATTTTTTTTATAAAGAAACTAAGTCAGCATAAATCTGCAATTTTATAATATTTTTTTAAAAAACGTATTGTGTTGTAATTATCTGTTTATTAGTTTAAAGTTATTAATAAATTGTAATAAGACTCCAAAATTGTCTTAATATGATTCTACATATTGTTTATTATATTAATTTTTAACTTTTATATTATTATTCTTGAACTTCATAAATTATTAGCTCTCGTGTCTTATGCTTAGTTCAAAAATAAAAAAAGAATTTCTAGAATCTTCATGTTGTATTTATAGTATTAAGTTTTTGGTTTCTAATAATAAATTCTGTGTATAGAATGATCAAGTAATAATTATTTTTATGATTTATTTAAAATAAATTTAATTTTTAGTCAAATTAAATTTAATATACTATCTTATTATAACAATAAAGTAACTTTCATTTTTTATATATATGTAACATACATATAATGCACAAATAATAAGTCATTAGTGACTTATTTAAATAAAAACAATTGTTATTAAATTGATAGGTATAGGTTGGTAAAACACATCAAATTATAATAACATTATTATTTATACACTGTTTAGTGTAAGAACACATATCTGTTCGACAATAATTGGTTTTTTGGGCAGACTAGAATAATTAATGATAGGGGAAAATATTTCTATCATGGTTCTCATTTCACTTTTGGTACTACAAGAAAAAAAATAGTATAATAATTAATGTTTGTAAATTTTAAAAGCTTATGCCTTATTTATTAAAGATTTATATTAATTTTGAACAATATTAATTATGTTAATATAATAATAATAAAATTATTGCATTAATCTATCTTCAACATATCAAATTGATAGCTTTAATAAATTTAACTCTGCATTGATTATGAATCAGTCACTTGGAACAGTATTTATGTATACAAATTTAATGTTTAGAATATGTTTATTTTATTAGGTTAATTAAGTATATAAAGTTAATACTAAACAATAACTGATTTAAATTAATAAAAAACCTGAAAGCCCTTATAATTTTTGTAGTTTTAAATAATATTTAATTATTAATTCTTTTTATTATTATTTACTTTTAGAGTTATAATTTTAAAATAGTACTCCAATAATAACCAAATTGATACAAGTGTATACAAGTATTCACTGTGATAAAATCAAAAATCCTTAAATATGGATACTTCATCTTTAGACTCAAGTAATGACTTTTTGATTGAAGATGAAACCAATTTGGAAGTTAATACTTGCAATATTTGCAAGTAAGTTCTTTTATATTTTTATTATATTTTTATGTTAATGGAATTCTATTGTTACAGAAATGAGTATATGTGTCCTAGAGTCCTGAACTGCTTGCATGTATTTTGTGAAAAATGCATCTTACAACTTGTAAATGTTAACTCAATGTTTAGTGTTCTTAATATAATATGTCCTACATGCAGTCAACCAACAACTGTATGTATTTAATTTTTATTATTCTAATTAATTATTGTACATTGAAATAAAACTAATTGTAATATATTTTATAATTTATATTTAGACTCAATTGAATCGTGGAACTTTGACATTACCCCAAGACTATGTTACTAGGGATATTCTTGAAGTTGAAATGTTAAAAAACCATAGACTAGTTTGCAAATCTTGTAGAGATAATAAAGAGGCGACTCATAAATGTATTACTTGCTGTAATTTTTTGTGTTCTAGTTGTGAAAGTATGCATAAGGTATTGTTTTAAATGTTGGATTTTAGTTAATTATACTTACAAGTATAAATATTTTTAATGTTAAATATTTTTTTATTAGATGCTTGTAACACCTGGTCAGTATCATTATATGGTATCCATTGAGGAAATGATTCAAAGTTCTCAAGATAAAACTGCTCTACATAAAATGGTTTTATGTGAAAAACACAATAATGAACAAATGGTGTATTATTGTAACACTTGTAATGTAAGTTAATATCTAATCTATAATGCGTTTTTTTGCTTAATTTTATATCTTAGTTTAAAATTAAATGTGTTAAAATATACTTACTTATTTTAAAAAGAACTGAGTTGCTTTTTAGAAAAACCCATTAATCAACTTAACATATATTTATACATTTTAGCTAAATTATTTAATTTAAAAAAATCCTCTGCTTCTAGAATAATATTTTGATTATTTATTAATTAATATAATATTAATTGAATATGTTTTTAAAATAAGTTTTTCACTTATGTATAGAAACAATACAAATTAATATTGACTATCATTCATTTAGTAATATTATTAATTTATTATAACATTAATTATACTTGCAGGAGTTGGCTTGTACTAAATGTCTCAATATACCTTCTCCAAGGACATGCCAACATAGTTACGATAGTCTTTCCAATGCTTACAAAAAGTATGGAACTGAGTTAGAGTATTTAATACGTGAAAGCAAGAATGTTATGAAAAATGTTTCAACTTTACCGGCTACTTTAGAAAAAGCATTGGACAATCTACAAACTTCTCATGATCATGTAAAATCAAACGTGGAAGAAACTTTTCATGTAACTATATTATTATAATTCAAGTATACAATATGTTAAGCTCAATATATTTTTTTTTAGAGTTTTAAAGCTATATTAGAAACATGTAAAAATGAGGTATTGGTGCAGCTTAAATCCTCTCAAAAGCAACAAGAATTAAAGATAATGGACAAATTTGAAGAGTATAATATTCATTTTTAAACTATTTAAATGTATATTAATAATTAAAATTTTTATTTTAAGAGTGAAGAAAATCACTGATAACATTGGTGGAGTTCAACAATTTGCTACACGTCTATTAGAAAATGGAAGTGAATCTGAAATTATGGCATTAAAAAAATTAATTTTTACTCAAATGCTTCAGTTATTTGGTCAAATACCAGATGTTGATGTAAATGCTAAATTTATGTATTCTCCTGATGTTAGTGGATTTGAAAATCATTGCCGTGTAAGTAATTATTGACATTAACATAAAACTATTTTATTAATCATAATCATTGTTTTATTTTATTGCAATAATACAATATGGACTTGCTCAATTTACATTTTTAGAAATATTTTGGCCAAATTGAAACCGAACAAGGGATGAATGTTGCAGTTGCACCTATCTCTCCGCCTACTCCAAGAACCAATTTTTTAACTGACCGTGTATTCCCTTCACCTATGATGTCTCCTATGGTCGATTCACAAATATTTGATTTAAACTTGGCTCGCTTATGTTCATTAAATGTTGATGATAATCCCATTTTATCAACAATGTCATCTCCTGATTCATTGGGCGATTTATTGAATGCACCAACTAGTTTGGATGGTA